CCAGAAGCACAAGAGTAGAACAGACCATTTCTACAATCTCCGGTGGGTATCTTCTCTGAAGACATGGACATGTTCTCTGGAGAAATATGCCACCCAGTTGTTAAAGTCAAATATCACCCAAATAATTGTTTGTGTAAAGGAGTTTCACAGAAAGGAATTAGCACCATCCAGAGAGTCCATTCAGCCCTACTAGGGGTTTCTTTATACAAAGTGGAATCCCCTTCCATCCTCAAACTGGACAGATAATCTACTTGTCCAAGATAGATTATAATGACACTGTAAAATATTAATGTTAGGAAAAACTGTTTTATTCACTATAATCAATATTTAGGCTAGTTACTTTACTTCACTTTCTTTAATGAAAAAAAATAAATCTTGATCTCTAAATATTAAGTCAGTCACTCCTCTGCATGTGAGTGTATTGTAGACATGGTAGGATGCTGTGGGTGTATGAAACAGTCAAGAGCAGTAACATACTAAAAAGTGGTTTACCAAAAAGTAAGTTAAAACCTGTTCAGATTTCAAGTGGAATTTGGAAGATTTCTTGCATGCTGCATGTAGCCAGTATGCAGTCACTACTGAAGCATTCAAAATAGGATTAAAAATCTTGCATGACAACACAAATAGTCTTAAAATTAGATGTCGAGCAGAAGCATAATAATCAAAGATGTCTTTAAGAAATGGCACCAAGGAAACATTTTCAGGACTTCAAAGCTCTAAACCACGTGAAAACCAAACCTGTGAACTACCAGAAAAAAACCCACAGTTTAAATTTGACTGTAAGCTGGCTGCTATTACATGATCGCAAGTTAAGTGTTACAAGATATTCAAACAGAAACTAAATGCCTTGACAAACAAGTGCTTATGACATCGTATGAATGGAAAGATTTTTTTTTCACTAACACAGGGACAGTGAGACATCCCCAGTAGCTTGTCTTCACTAGGACCAGCACTGCTGGGTGTATTTTGGTCATATCCTCCAAGTAATAACAGAATGTCTCATACATGAGTTCCTGGATGGAAGAATGATCACAAAGAGCAACCAGTGACAGATGGGTGGAAGAACTAACCCCAGGCAACTGTACCAATGTAGGCATCATAAATGTGTCATGTGGCATTTAAAACTGCCAGAGGCGTATAAACATGGGCTTGCGAGATAGTCACTGGAAATAATCCAGTGTCCTATAATATATCACAAGTCACAACAAGTGGAGAACCTACTTCTATCCTGTGTATTGTCCTCCTGGAAAATGTTTTGTGGCTCAATTCTCCTTAACAACCTCCTTGGCATCTGAGATCAAGCATGTACTTGAGAGATGTGCCTTAGTCAGAGGGTTAAATGCCTTCCTCAGGTAAATCCCACTGAATCTGTGAGCTTCATCAGCAGTCATCTTCAGGTGTTGGCTGTTTTCTCCAGTTTGGCAAATAATCAACAACCTTTTCTGATGAGCCCTTTACAAGAGTTCAGCCCAGGCCAATCCATATAGAGCCATTTCTGACATGGTTTGTACCTTGCTGTGATGTTTTCTCTTTTCCTGCCATACCGTCCTTGCTGCCTCGGCTCTCTCCATCCCTCTTTGGTAAACTCTGACACCAGAGCTGCAGTTCTGCTCCCTGACCCGAGGTTGTTTTGCTTCTAGCTGCAGCTTCTCTCATTTATCTCATGAAATAGGGCTGGGGACCTCGCTTGTACCCTGATACCACTCTCACTGATGGGGGTCCTGGCCTGGTGTCAGAGCCTTATATTGCACTGCCCACTTCCTGAAAATCATTTCCCTTCTCAGTGCAAGGACAAGAGACAGAAAAACAGCACAGGCAACAGGATAAGCCCAGAGCAATTCTGTCTTCAAGTCTGGCAATGAAAAATTCAGTTTGCCTGCCTTCTAGGGAAGCTCTGGGACCATACTGAATCTTAGGACCTCTCTGACCCTCTTCAGTAGCCAGATACCCAATCCCTGCTCTGACATGCTTGAGCTAAGTTCCCTAGCAGTTGTCTTCAAGCAGTTCATTCGGTGCCACTTGAGTTAATTGTGGGGTTGATTCTCCACCCTTCTATCTAGGTACAACTCATGAGATGTCTCACTGTATATCATTTGCCTCAGCTAGGCTTTAGCTTTCTTGCTTCCTTTCTTTCTTTCTAGCCAAAGAAACCACCTCCACTACTGTTTTCTTTCACAGCTTGTGTTTTTTTCACAGTTGTGGTCATGTTTGCATGGTAGCATTGCTGCAGAAAGCTGAGCTCAGATGCCTGTTGGCTCATCTCCAACCTCCATACATTGTCTGTCCCTTCCCTAAAGTATCCCTTTTCTAATAAACTTGCACCTTTTTTCAAAAATGTGAAAAAGATGAAAAGTAATTGACCATTGGTACTTCAGTTCCTCCATCAGTATCTAATTTGTTAGATCAGCTTCCCTGGCTGTGCATCTGCCCCTGAGCTGGGCTTGTCTAGACAGGAGGGGGCTCCCTGCTGCAGGGACATGCAGGCTTGGTCTGCTTGGTCTGGCTGCTGTCCCTGTCCCTCCTGGAGTGGGTCAGCACAGCCCCAGACCTTCAGGCACCATGCAGGCTCTGCTGGGAGGACCTCCATGTCTCATCCTGGGAGGAAAGTTCTTCCTCCCGAAGAGCAACCCTGGGAGGAGCCTCATGATCCCTGGTCCGTACAGGAGAGGGTGCTGAGGTGCACCTTTCTTAACAAGGGGCTGCAAAGCCTTCCTTGACCCTTAGGGTCTGCTCTGGTCCAGTCCTCTCCAAGTCAGAGCATCCCACCTGACCCCAGTGAAGACAGCCTTGTGCCCCCACTGCGGGGATCTCCTGGGGCAAGCCCTGCACAGGGGCCAGAGGGGCCAGCAGTGCTCCCAGGGCACCAGGCCCACACCATGGGCACCACAGGGCTGCCCCAATGGGGACTGCTGCAAGTGGTTAAGGGATGTAGGCAGTGCTGGCTCAGGGCATGCAGAAGGGGGATCAGACAGGGTACCTGGGACTCTCCTGGGGCTGTGCTCCTGGGGACTTTAAACAGGATCAACAGTGGTGAGGCACCATCTCCTGCTCCAATTCAGCAAACCCCATGGCCACCAGCTATTGTGACCAGGTGTAAGGTGGCATTTGAAGGAGGAGCCAAGCTTCACCACCCCAAGTGCCATCTGCTGCTTACCCATCTCCATTTGAATTTGTTAGCTCTACAGGATCTTTGTTGTAGTTTCTATGAAGGGATTACATGAGTATAGCTTGTCTGAATGTTCTTTGTTATTCTCTTCAGTGATGCGTTTTGAGACAAAAGAAAACCCCTCACATCTAGATTATGTAAATAAAGTGGAAAATAGTTCTTAAGATGTCTATTGAGGTGCTGTCAGGAGTAAGCCTTTGAATCCCTCTATTCAAAAAATAACCCCAAAAAAACCCCCCACTAAAATAAACAGTCTATTCAACAAGCAGCATTCATTTGCAACGTATATGAAATAGTCTTTAATACATGCTTAAAAATATCAAGTAACTGTACAAAGCCCCAGTCACAAACATGACTTTATTCAGATACTCTGTGTGACCTCTTTGCTCACAAAGGTAAACCTGTCCTCCCACCAGGCACCCAAATCAGCAGATTTCTCTTTCAGGTCTGGTGCACAGCATTTCAGGAGTGGCATTTGGAGGGAAATGGGCTCTCCTGAGTGGCAGGCTTGGCTCTGCAAGCTGAGATTTCAGCAGAGCTCCTCCAGAGGAGGAGGATCCCCTGTGCCTGGCTCTGCTCCAGCTACACTGTCTCATCAATGGCAAACTGCCCCTGCTCTCTCAAAAAAATAAACAAATAAATCAATCAAGAAAAAATCTAGTCTCAGCCTGTCCCTAGAAACAATAACCCAACCCCTTCAATCCTGCCTTGTAACAGGGCAATTTGATATTCCTCTGGGCATGCCAGATGGTTGACTTTCCACAGAGGTCCCAGCTCTGCAAGCCCTTCCTGCCTCTGGAGAAGCTGTAGCCCTTCCCTAGCTAGAGGAGAGTTAAGCTTACTGTAGCAACCTGTTATAAGCCATTACTAAAGCAAAGACAGTTTCTATTTGACAGATGTGAGGTTTTGATAAATTCCCTTGTTAAGAGTGACTTTGGATCCCTCACCCATGCTCAGATGGAATTCAGGCATTGGCTCTACCCAACTAGTTCACCTTGTAGCATACAGTGTAGAGTCATTGACCTGGAGAAATGCATTCTGCTATGTAATCCCAAATCATCTGGAGATTGAGACAACACCAGCACATCACAAGTATGTGCTGTCCCAAAAAGCCATCATGCACCAAGTCTTGTCATTTTTCATGTCAGCCACACCAAAACCCACACTAATCATGCCAGAACCTCTGACAAACGCCGTAATTTAAAATCTAGACTTGACTGCATTTTTTGGGACCTATCTTTGAGTAGGTAAGCTCACACATATCCAGAACTTCACTTGCAACACACTCTGCCACAATGTTTCTGAAGTCTCCTTAGAGTAGATTTCTTTGCTGTAACTCTTGAGTATTTTTAGCTACCTGAGCTCTTCGGCAGACCCTCAAGGAGTCATAAGAGAACTATAACCCATCCGTATGTGGATCTACTGCATATTATCAAACAGGCCTGTTATGGTCTTCCTCAGCACTTAGCAAAGCTGAGAACCAGACCTCTCCATCTACTCCACCTTCCCTGAAAGGGAAAGAAATGAGCCCTTATGTTGTATCCAGCCACTTGTATAATCCCAAAATACTGCTTTCCGTACTAAACTGCAAACATGTGTGCAGGATACCTGCATTTCTCTACATTTTCTCTACATTAAAACTAAGACTTATAAAAAACTTTACAAGTTATCAAAAAAGCGGAAACAGCTTTGGAAATCAGGCAGGTTTTTCTTTCCACTGAAGAAGCAGGTGATAGTATTTTCAGTTCAGCTACCACATCAGGTTGCTAACGCAGCTCTCAGGGAGGATAAGAAAGGAATGGTCAGTTCACTCATGGTCCAAGAAGGCAGAAGCTTAATTGTCAGTGAAGTAAACATTGCTTCTGACCATGGTGCTGCGTCTAGAACAATAAGACATATCTTCATATACTGTATTATTTTTTCTTTTCTGGAAATATTTCTTCATCTGCAAAACAAAGCAAACAGCTGTTCAGAACAGAGCTTGAAAAGACATTGACCAAGGAGTCAGTTTACATCATAGGAGTCCATCTGTTTGAAATGGAGATGTACTTTTAAAATTCCTAATTAGGAAGGATTGGGTGGAAATTATCAAATAATTTATTTAACTTTCTATCCTCAGTCTGATTTAGTTTCACTAAAGGATCCTTCAAGAGTTCAATGTAACTGTGTCCCCAACATAAATAAAGCTTGTCCTCCGTTTGTTACTCATAACACAAGAGATCAGTCCCCACAGGGCCACTTGGCTTTGCCAGAATGATGTTAGAATACTGGTATTTAGCAGTACTGAAGCCACATGTGAAGGGACGAGATAGAAGCCTGTCCTCTGACTCATACTCTTGAATAATCTTTACGGAGTAGAAGGATCTGTCAGCGACAATTTCTGGAGAATTTCTGCAGAAGATGAAGGTAAATAATCCCATTAAAGGAAAAATCTCTTGGTCATGTTTTTTTCCTGAAGTGGGGCAGAACTCTTCTCCCACAGCTGCTTTCAGACATTGGACTATTTTGTGACTTTTTGTTATCCTTATGTCCCACTCTAAACATTCTCTTACATCTGTTACAAGATTGGTCTATACAGCTCAATTCCCAATTAACCAAAAAAAAAAAAAAAAAAATAAAAAAGAAGCAAACCAGAATAGTGAGGTGCTCAGTTCAGGAAAATACACACAACACATGGCTGTGTTGTTGACTGCAAGGCTTAATTGAGGTTTGTTATCAAAGGCAAACAATATCTCATTTACTGACAGTTCCAGAGACAGAAGAGGACACAGTCTTTACTGCCAAGAGTTTACAGCTGGGAGACATTCAACAAAGACAAAGAGGAGACAGTAGAAAGCCATGATTCTTCAGGTTTATCAGATGTTTACTTGACTCTGTCACTGTTTACAAATAATATCAAAGGCCCCTATTCACTCAGCCTGGATTCAGTTTTGCTTGGGCACAGTAACAGCGTACTTACATCGACACGGTACAAGATGCAGCCCACCAGTGCAGAAAACAGCAGCACTACCATGATGATAAGACTATAGATGTCCCAGAAACTATGACGGCAGCCTGTCTGCTCCACTTCTGCATGTAAAAGTATGTTATTATTATTATAAATATGAAGACATAGAATTCTATTTTTATTATGAAGAAAACTACATACCAGTCAGCAAGAAATCAGCTATTAACAGCATGCCACACAGCCACATTTGGCATTAGTATCGTCACTGCCACTCCCTGTGCTCTTCTAGAGGCTAGTGAGCACTGTAGGTGGCTGTGGTGAGCTAACCCTGGCTGAGTAAGAGATGCCCACCAAGCCACTCAATCACCCTCCCCCTTTCCTCTCCCTCCTCCAACTAAAAAAATAAAACAAAAATTAGTTTTGCTGCAATATTACAGCAACACTGGGAGCTGGGCTGGGAATATACAGGAATTATATAAAGGCTTGGTTTGCAAGCAGTACAGACAGCAGTAAAAGCTGTTGTGATCTGAAGTATGTACACTGAGCAGAACAGTGCTAATGGAAAGGGTTACAGTTCTCTAAAACCTCAATCGATTCATATCTGAATAACATAATATCTGATTATCACCCTATTTCTTTGATGTGCAGCTGTTATTTCCCTAACTCACACTACTGAGCTGTTGCATCAGTTATGGCTAGGGGCACAGAATGAGACCACAGCAGATAGAACCTTTGCAACCCTTGGAGACTAGGCAAGCCTTATGTTAAATACCCAAAGATCTCATCAAAGCCCAAAGCACAGGGTTAAATTGATCAAAATCAAGCACTATATTGCTGGTTTTGTCTTTATTTTAATAAATAGTTATGACACCATACTGCAGGAGAAAAAAAAAAAAAACAACAAATCTTTCTTTGGAACAGGCTCACAGTGTGCTCAGTGTATAATAAGTGTGTGTGAGATCATCTCTGCTATTATCTGTGGTACTTTAAGTAAATGCCTCAGGATTTGTTCCATACTCCCTACTGTGGCTTATTTTTAAACACAAAGACTTACTATAGGGAGTGGTTTCTAAAAGACATTTATGTCACATTAAGGTCAAAGAACTGATACTAAAAATACCGATTCACTTGCTAAAACTGACAGATTATTCACAGGCACACTGAAGTGTTTGTTGGCTGCTTTGGACCTTGATTTTTTTTTTAAATGTAGCATTATAGAAAGTTTTCTTTTTTATAAGTGCCCTCTGGTTGTGCAAGCAGGTAGAAATATAGTGCCTGCTTCTGTGTCCGAGTACTACAGGGTGCAGAGGAGCCTGATCACACTCCCCAAGTTTTCCCAGGTACTGGAGGAAGTCTAGCCATGGATTAGTGCTTCACCTGTCCTGATTAAAGTTCTGCAAGCTTTTAGTCGAGCTTTTATATTACAACATGCCCATAGCTATTAAGGCTTAAACAAGCAGGACAGTACCTTTAACCAGCATAAAGGTGCCACTTCCATTCGCTGAGAGGAAAGGGGAATTTTTCACCACCACAGCACACACATAAATATCACTGTCATTTTTCTGTAGGTTGTGTAGAGTTATCACGATTTTCTTTTCTTCCCTTGAATATTCCAGGCGATTAGCAAACGCAGGATGAATAGTTGAAGCATTCTGATGTGAAACATATAGCACTCTCTCATGCTGCATGTGAGTCTTGAGCAAGTAGATCCCTTCATCTTCATACGAGCTTTTCAGTGCACAGGTAATGTTGATAGACTGGCCTTGCTGAGGATTGACATAGAGTGGTGACTGTTCAACAACTCCACTGGTTTTAGCTAAAAACAAGAGAGATTAGTGGCTACCATATATAGTGCATTTTAACAAGGGAGCAAATAGAGACGTCAAAAACAGAAAGAACAGATCACAGACATTTGGATAAAATGATTTTTTAAAAGGCCATCTTTACATATGCCTTGAGAAGCAAGAGAGATTTTATGTTTTCCTGCCTCAGAATCTGAAAGTAAGACTGACCAAACAGGTTTACCTGGCTGTAAAAAGTCTCAGCCTACCTAAAAAAATACATATGCTGAACTCTTCTGAGGAAATACAGCTGCATCAGCTTGCCCTTGAGACATGGATCATTTCCTGCTTTCTCAAGTGAGACTAAGCCATAGAAAGATCTGGGGACTATTGGTCTGGATTAAATCTTACAATGTGGGTGCCATCAATGGTGAAAATGGCCTTCAAAAAGCAGTTATTAACAGCTTGCTATCCAGCTGGGAAGACATTCTACTGAGTTCCTCTGAGGACAGGCACTGTTCCTTTTGACATCAACATCGATGGGAGAATGGAGACCAAATTTATCACATTTGTGCAAAAGATAATTCTGGGAAGGTTGCAAGCATGTTGAAGAAGAGGATCAGAAGCAAAAAGAGGTATAAGGTAATGTAATAAAATCCTTTGGAAAAACAGTACATAGTCAACAAGATGGAATTCATTTGAGAAAGCACAGTCAAGATACTTGGAAAGAGAAGCCTGAGGAAGGACATGATAAAACTTCATAGATATAAATGGTTATTACTGAGGCAGTAATCAGTCAGATTTTACATGCCTTGGGAACAGGAAAGGAAAAAAATTCTGTAATTTTTGGTAAAGATGTTTCAGGTTAGATGGTCTCATCAGAAAGGCGGGTATATAGAGGAATAAGCTGCCAAAGAACATTGTGGACTCAACACTTTTTTAATGAAAAAAGAAAAGTCAGAAGAATTCTTCCCCTAACCAGAACTGACTGTCGAAAGGAGAACTTGTGCCCGTTCATCAACTGTATGCTAAGAAAAATCCCACATCCCTTTTCCCACTGATGCCCAACTCGCAAACCCTGACTAGCACCAGCTTTCCAATTATTAGTTATTTATCGTGTAAGATTAAATAGTAAAACCAAAAGAGATTTGCAAAAAACGCTACTAAAAAAGGCTCGTCACTTTGCTAGTTCTTCATAAATATTTGGCTGTTTTGGAAAGAGCCCTGAGTCCTCTCTGTTGACAAACTTCTGCAGCAATCTATGACTCATGCAAAAACCTGTACCTAGGATTAAATTAGTCATTAATTGACATTCTAGGGACTTTCTTGCTACTGTTCTAACATGTTTACTTCATCTTTTCAGGGTACAGACCCACACTTTCTTTCAAATCAGTACGTAACCAGAGCTGCCATGAGTAAAGTTCTGTGGGAGTCTCCTTCCCATTATGCTTTCTTCTGATCTTTGATTTAAAATAGACATCTACATTTATTAATTTGCTGTACAAAAGGTGGAATTGCAATACCTTTCACCAGTACTATGGTTGTCTTCCCATTCAGCTTTTTATGATGGCCTTTGCTTTTAATATATGTAGAGCATAGGTAGATATTGGAATCAGATTCCTGTGCATCGTGCAGAGTTATCCTGAGATTGGTTCCTTCCTTTGCATACTCAATGCGATTAGCCAAAGCAGGAGAGATATACTGAGTATTCAGCTTGGAAACATACAGCACATTGACCTGCTGTATGGTAGCTATCAAGTACGTTCCCACTTCAGTTTCTGAATCTTTCATTGAGCATGTTATGCTGATGGAGTGTCCTTCCCAAACACTGATAATGTCTGTTGACTTTTCATTTCCTCCACCTAAAAATAAAAAATGTAATTGAAATTATAATATCAGAGTTCTTCATCTATTAATATTAAGGCGGTTTTCAAAGACAACTACTCCATCAACAGAACCACTGTGCAAGACTGGAGCTTAGTCTCACTATCCTGTACATATCATCTCTTGGTTGCCCTGAAATCTATAGTGTTTTTCGTGCCCATTGACCTGTGCAACTCAACATCTCCCCAAAGTTTAAAAGGCTTTGGCAAAAAAGTGGCTTCTGTCACTCACATAAGAAATTTAGCCTGTTCATAGATTCCCAGTATGATCCTATTAGTTCTCAAAATACAAGCTTTGTTGAACTCAGCCCAATAATTGGAGTTGATTGAGGATCTGAATAAAGAATTCGAAGGTATCCAAAAGTGGCAAAGAATAGTGAGGAACAGAGGGATAAAACAGAAAACACCTAAAAGAAGTTAAAAACAAGGGAAGAAAAATTAAACATAGCGTATTGCATATTTAGGACAAACGTGACATAGAAAGAGTAGGATTAGTCAGTGTTGACAAGCATATTAAGGATCCCTTCACACTCAAAACGATTTATTTTACTAAGGGAACAAACACCAATACAGGCAGTCGATCCAACCTGACCAGACATGAGGACACTGTTCCTACAACACTTAGAGAAGGAATTAAGGCAGTCCAGGAGCTGTCAGCAATTGCCTTCCCAAGCAGCAGAGAAATTGGGTAATGGTGAAGGCTGGAGAAGTGCAGAGCACTCAGCCTTTACGGGAGGAGAAGGAAAGCCCAGAAAATTCATCTCCATTAGCCTGAAATCAATACTTCTAAGCTGACCCACACATATATGACCTAAGAACTCATACAGCTAATGACAAGCAGTTGCAGCCCATCAATTGTTTTCTCCAAAATATCAGGGTAGAAGTTGAAGAGTTAAATTATATATACAGAGATCAGTATTGACTCAACAACCACTAACAAAAGAACAAGTGCACTCAATTTTTCTCAGCCGTTTCACTGCATCTTTCTTTCAGACTTCCTAATTTATGGATAGTATTTTTTTCTCACGTCACCATCCTTTCCAGTTATTGACAATTGTCATAGGGGAAAAAAAAGGACTGTTTGGAGACATCTTTTTCCTCAGCCTGCTCTCCTCAGAGATTCACACTGTTTTCCCCAAGTGTGCCTCCAGCCTGCACTCTCAATAGCTACAACAATATTCAACAATAGATGTTTCTAGTAAGGTTTTATTACACCCTCAATAATTATGTCCCTAGTAAATATAAATATTCATTTCTACCCAAAAGCAGGTTCCCCTTGTCAACCTTAACAATACAGATAGAGCATGTTGAGTTACTGGGAAAAATAACTTTCACTCTTTCTATGGAGAGGAATTTCTGTGTAGAAAAGTGTTTATCACAATAATTTTTCATTTTTTTTTTCTAAAAACTCATTCTTACAACTCATAATTACAAAGAACGTTGTTCAAAGTTCCACCTGTTTTTGCTAATAGAGAAAAAAAATGGAAGGAAAATATTAAAACTTGTAAAATGTAAGAACATCTATATTGGACATACCGTTCTGGCCAGGGAAACACGGGAGAAGCAGAAGAAAGAGTGATGCAGCTGGGAGACGTGATAGCCACAGCATCTTCAAAGGTCTGTTTAGTTCTTCTCTGCTGTCTGACTGAAGAGTTAGACCAGAAGAAAGGGCTGTATGCCACTAGTTGGTCTGGTTTCTCCCAGCTATCCACTAGAAGTTAGCAAGGTGCTTCTTTTGTCTTACTATCACAACAGAGAGGGGAAGAGAGAATTCTCTCAAGAGGTGTATCTTGGTTTTGACTTTACACTTGCAGCACCCACAGTTTCCTGCTACTGAACAACCCTCAACCCTGAGGGCAGGACTAGAAAGAGCCTTTATGGTGGGCACCTACCTTCCCTTTACAGTCAACTGAGAAAAGGTAGGCTCAAAGTTGCTTTTCACAATGCCAAAGCAAAACCTCCCTGTTGTGGCCTTACTGGAAGTGCAGGCACATGGGGCAATCAGCTCAGTCTGTCAGCGTTTCCAAAGGCTTAGCAGGCTGCTTGGTTGGTGGTTGCAAATGGGAAAGTCCTGGCATTGTAAGGAGCAGGTGGGTGAGAGATACTCCATTACTTCAGTTAAATTATTACACGAACCCCACTCTCAAAACTACAGGAGTGATCTGTATCTTGTCAATGACAACATGCACCATTTCCAAGCAGCAGCATGGTCTGTACCTCCCAGCTTCACATTTACAAACATCTTCTGTAGTGCCTGCAGGACACCTGCTAACCACCAGCAAAAGGGAACCTCAGCTATGGTTTTTCCCTGAAAAGCTCTTCTTGTAGGCACTGTTCTCTATGTGAATAGGTAGGTAAACGGGGTGTTCCTGAAGAGTTTCTTGAATTCTTGAAAGATTAGAAATTTCATCAACTATTGTCAAGAAAACAGAGTTCAGGCAGGTTGTGAAATGAACTCTCAATTAGCCCTACTCTTAGCTTACTACTGGATACTAAAGCAGATGCCAAGAGACATCTCTTACTCTCTGTCTTTGCTTTTGCAATATTTAAGAAGTGAAACATGACAATAATACTGGATTATGAATTTGGGAATCATGTGATGGTGATGCTTTGTAAAGGAGATGAACATAACAAATAACAATGCAATCAACACAGGCATTTTATACTGATGTTTTATTATGATGATTATAGTAACACAAACAAAAATATAATAAAAATGAAATTACATTGATAAAATTATGGCTTTTGATGAGCCAGAGTAATATCTCTAGCTATTTTTTTATTTCATAAACAAACATTTGCCTATATTAGTAAACTGCAAAGCAACACAATGCAATTGCTTAGAAAAAACACTGTCAATCTTTAACGCTATTTATAATAGTTTTTCCTGAGATATGGAAGGACTTCTGTTCATCAGCACAACACAGGCCAAGAGAGGCAAAGTGAAACTGTTGGTAGCGATGCCTCTGAATATCACCATCTGCATAATCATCAGTAGAAAGAGGAGTTTTAAAGGAAAGTGTGCTTGAGTGAGCCACAAAGATGGGCATGTGACTCCATTTTGTGACTACTCTAGCTAAGCCCCGTCACTGGGAAGAGGTGTCCATAGAAGCTTTCCTCTTAGAACATGACCATCTCTCTGGTCCCAACTGGTAGTAAAGAGTAGAAATTAAATCTGCACCTCATTCAACATGAATCCCTCAAGTTAATACAATGTGAGTTCTGAAGTACTACTTTATTCCATACCCAAAGAACTCAAAATCTGAGTTTATACCAAAAACCACCCAGTGTCAGCCCCTGATTTGAACACCATATATGCACACCCAGTGACTTTTCCACACGTAGACACAGATATGTGTCTATAACAACAACTATATCCATAGAAAAGAACTGCCATGGCCTCCATTTTAAGAGAGTATAGGAAAATAAGATATACACCACTGGAATTCTCCAAAAGCACAGAATACAGCTTGATTACGTAAGGTGAAGCACTTGGCCCTTCCTCAAAACCATCTACAACAACAACTTAGAGCAGAAGGAAATGGAACCAAAAACACCCACGATATGTGCAGTAGGATCAGAAAGTGAAAGGCCAATACCTGATTTTAATGCTCCTTTCCCAGGCTATAGCAACAGATATATTATTTCCTTAAAAAGAGATGGCTTTTATCCCAAACAAACTTCTTCCTCACTCCTTTTAGACACAGCAGTTTTGCTCTGGGAAAAAAAAAAAGAACAGCAATTGTGCTAAGGCATTGTATAACGAGGAAAGAAAAGTCTTTTTCCTTCTATCTCTAAATACTTGCAGAGTCCAAACTCTACAGCTAACAGCTTGGGCTTACCAAATAAATATCCATCATGGTATGCTGGAGTTCGTAACTGGATCAGTCAAAATAACATACTCAGTAAATAGCCAAAAGACTGGCAGGTGGTTTAAACCTGTGCTGCTGAGCCAGCCACACATCTTGAGACAACTTCTGTCCTCAGCAAGGCACCAGGAGAGTGTGGGGGAATCAGGGAGCTTCTCCTGTTGTTTGTGAAGGGCTGGAGCTGGACTACTGTGGCAGTCCCAGTCCTCAGTGAACACATGGATTTGGAGAAAGTACATTTGTGAACACTACTGTGAGGTCTTGTATAAAATAAGTTCTGTTTCTTCAGCTCTAGAGGGTCTGGGATGTGCCTGGAACATCACTGAGCATTACACCACAGGGCAGGACCTCAGGGGAGCCACTAGTGGTAAATATTTTATCTATTTAACCAACAGATCTATTGATATGTCTTACTATAACAACTGCAGCAAGACTAACATCGTGTTGTCTTTACTGGGCCTTGCAAGCACTTCTGCAACTCATATTTTTCACAGATAGCCTTGTGTTTTCTCAAACTATAGATGTCCAAACATCTCAGTTTGTTCCCTTTGGCTTCCTTTAGAGTTACCAGAGAGAAACAGGCACCTTCACAAGGTAACTCATCTGTTTCACCTTAAAACCATTTTAAGGTGAGATGAAAGATTGTCTCATGATAGTGTTGTGGTTTAAGCCCAGCCAGCCAACAACAAAGCACCACACAGCTGCTTGTTCACTCCTACACCCCTCTGGGGGGACAGGGAGGAGAAAACACAACAAAAGGCTCAAGGGTTGAGACAAGGAACAGGGAAGGGCTTATTCTGCAATTATGGTCACAGGTAAAGACTGACACAACTTGGGGAAACAAAATGAAGTTAATGTAAACAAAACCACCTCCAATTTACCAATTGAATTGGACTGGGGCAGTGATAAATACAACCCAATCTCTTAAAAACACCTTCCTCTGACCCCTCCCTTCTTCCAGGGCCCAGTTCTGTTCCCGATTCCCTGTCTCCTCCCTCCAAGCAGTGCACAGGGATAGGGAATGGGGGTTGCAGTCATTCCCTGTCCGTTCCATGTTGTTTCTGCCACTCCTTCCTCCTCAGGGGGGAAATGCACAGTCCCCCCTTCCTGCAACGTGGCAGCCCCCCATGGCAGACAGTCCTCCACGAACTTCTCCTACCAGTGTGGGTCTCTTCCATGGTCTGTGCTCCTCCCAGCAATGGACTGCTCCAGTGTGGGCTTCCTTCAGGGACATGGACCTTCCAGGAGCAGTCCCCTGCTCTAGTGTGTGGTCCTGCAGAGGCTGCAGGCAGGATTCTGCCACACCATGGATCTCCAAAGCCTGCAAGGGCTTAGTCTGCCAACTGACCACAGACCTCAGGGGAATAGCTGCCCCACTGTGTCTTCCCTTCTCCTTCCTCACTGACCTCCCTGTCTGCTTGGTTCTGTCTCTCAGATCCCATTCTTCTCCCAAACAAAAGAACTCCCAAAACAGAAGAACCTGCCCAAGAGATTTTTACTCTCTTAAATTTATGTAACTGAGGAGATGCTGCTTGGCTTGGGCTTGGCCTTGGCCAGAGATAAGTCTGACTTGGAGCTGGGGGATCTAATCACAGCAGCCACATCTGTATCCCCCAGAGCACTGGAAACCACTCAAAATTCAGGTAGGTGATAAAATCTAGTGACTCAGACTTGATGCAAGGAAGAAACAGGCATCTACAAAACGTGTCCTAGTGAATATGTCTAGTCCTTCAATGAATATCCCCCTGCCATTGGAGTAATGTGATTTCATTGTTTTTCATAACTAAACCCCTAACTGTCAAATTTACCATTAAAAAAAAAAACAACTGATGGAGCATTATGATAGGTCCTAGGAAAAAAATAGGGGAAAAAAGTATCAGCATTAGCAAAGATTTATTTTTAAGAATTCAGACTAACAGACATGCAGTTGTTTTTTCCCCAATTTACATTTACCTGAAATTCCTGAGCAACTCATTGGTATCCACCTCAAAGAGAGCCACAGGCCTTGTGTTCTCGCCATAAATCCCCACCTCACATGGCAGGTGTGATACTTTGCCACATGACAAAGCCACCCAAAGAGTGGCTGTCAATGGCTCCATGTCCCAGTGGAGGCCAGTGACGAGTGGAGTCCCTCAGGGATCAGTGCTGGGACCAGTCCTGTTTAACATCTCTGTTGGGGACATGGACAGTGGCACTGAGTGCACCCTCAGCCAGTTTGCTGACGACACCGAGCTGTGTGGTGTGGCTGGCACGCTGGAGGGAAGGGAGGCCATCCAGAGGGACCTGGACAGGCTGGAGGGGTGGGCACAAGCCAACCTCATGAGGTTCAACAAGGCCAAATGCAAGGTCCTGCATCTGGGTCGAGGCAATCCCAGGCACCAATACAGGCTGGGCAGGGACTGGCTGGAGAGCAGCCCTGAGGAGAGGGACTTGGGGGTGCTGGTGGATGAGAAGCTCAACATGAGCCAGCAGTGTGCACTTGCAGCCCAGAAAGCCAACCAGACCCTGGGCTGCATCAAGAGAAGTGTGGCCAGCAGGTCGAGGGAGTTGATTCTCCCCCTCTACTCTGCTCTGGTGAGACCCCACCTGGAGTACTGCATCCAGCTCTGGAGCCCCCATTACAAGAGGGATGTGGACCTGCTGGAGCGTGTCCAAAGAAGGGCCACAAGGATGATCTGAGGGCTGGAGCACCTGCCAACCAGACCCTGGGCTGCATCAAGAGAAGTGTGGCCAGCAGGTCGAGGGAGTTGATTCTCCCCCTCTACTCTGCTCTGGTGAGACCCCACCTGGAGTACTGCATCCAGCTCTGGAGCCCCCATTACAAGAGGGATGTGGACCTGCTGGAGCGTGTCCAAAGAAGGGCCACAAGGATGATCTGAGGGCTGGAGCACCTGCCCTATTGAAATGCTGGGGTTTGAACCCCAAGCCCCTAATTAAGGTTGACATATGGGTGATTCCCACAGCCCTTCATA